CGGCTATGATTGCTAATCTACAAGAAAGAGAAGCTGGTGTTGGGGCAGATTCTGAAGATGAGATGTCTCTTGATCAAAGCCAGCTTGATCTTGATCTGGACTGTAACGCAAGCCTTAGTGAGGTTCAAGGCGTTTTGCCAGGGGATCTCCCTGAGACGGCCCATATTTTGGAAGGTGGGGGCACGAAAGTGCCGTCCGGAACAGAGACGTCGTCAGGTGCAAGTTCGTGAATGTAACTAATCCACTAATTTTTATGTTGTGCACAGTGTTAGTTGTTATTACGTTCAGTATATGCATCATGGTATGTAGTATGAAAACAGTGTTAACAGTTATTCCTTTCACAATTTGGATATAGTGTGAAAAATCAGAATGCAAGAAAAATCTTCTGTTTACTTGCCTCTCACGCTGACGTTCTTCGGGCTTCGTCACGCGTTCCTTGCAAAAGAACGTTCATAGGGGAAGGAACGCCTCACGAAGCCCTAGGAACGTCTGCGTGGGAGACTCTCTGTTCACAAAATTATGAACATACTGGCACGATGCACGAAAGTGTGAAACAGAAATGAAACACTATAGCTGCTGTATGTTGCAATGGTCGTAGTCGGCTACTGTCCTGCGCAGCCTTTCTTTGTGTCATCACACAACGGCAGGAGAGTTGCGTGACGACAAAAATGACGACGACATTACGTGACGATACGGCTACATAGGAGACTAATAGTCTACAGGATTTCTGACTTTTTGACAAACTATTTTAGTCTACAACTGGGGAAATATTAATTTAATGTGTTAATGCATAATAGGCTTTATACTTGTTAGAACGTCTTGCTGTCACAATTGTTTTGCGAGATGCATGTATACAAATCATTTCAGTTAGTTGACCAAAAAAGGGCGTTCATGTACATTTTTGTTTGTATAAGTTGTGTTGATGATAGTGTTTCATTTACAGTACAGTGTATAAATTCCTGTTTGTCTGATTGCATTTTCAGTGTGTGTTGATGATGTTGCTGTACGGCTGAAGAATATGAGCGTGGATTCTGGATCCATAAATATAGTAGACAGACAAATCTCGGGGGCTGAAAGCTCTGATTCGGACTTTGCTTCAGGGTCTTTCAAGCGCGAGGTTTATGGCTGTGAAGAGGATGAGAATGCTGCAGGAGAGTGTAGTGGTGAAGGCATGAAGAGAAAAGAAACAGAACAAAATGAAGTAGTGACTAATGATGGTGTGCCTTTAGAGAAGTCTGAGCCTAAATCTGTGGATAAAGCGAGTGTAAATTCTTATGATGATTCTTTGTATTTAAGTGAGCTTGAGGCCCCCGGCTCCACCAGACAACTTCACAAAATCAAAATGGATGATGCTGGTGATACATCTGTGGACAAAATTGATGTTGTTGTAAAAACACGTGAAGATGTTGAGCAGCATTGTGTTAATTCCTTGGAAGATTCTACATGTATATCGCAAAGTGTACCAGAGGCCAGAGATAATTCTCTTGAACAACTTGAAATTGCTGTGGAAGAGTTTACTAATGCAGTAACTGTTCAGAAAAGCGATGCAGTTGATGATTTTGACGGGAAACTTGGACCTTTTGCGGGCACAGAAAGCACTCAAGAGTTAACCGGCAGTGACAATAATGCAACTGATGATGACGTCATTTCTCCTCAGAGTGGTCCTCGAGATGTTACCGAGTCCACTGAAACTGAAGCTTTAGAGAATGAGGAGTGGATTTGATGAAAGAGTCAAAGTGAGCGACGAACGCATTGTTTAAGTTCTGTGACGTCCTAGCCTGCGAATACAGCTGTCTCTCCTCTCTCCTCGCCGCTAGGACGTGTCGCGGGAGAGATGTCTGCGATTCGACTACTGACGACTTAGATTTTTCCAGAATCTGATAAATGAGCGCTGAGCTGATTGGTCGACTTTGTAATTTTTATTCTTTTAGCTACATGTATAGCTGTTGTTTACGAATGACAGACAGAAGACAAAAAGTCACAAAGATCGATTATTCAAACGCCTTGGATCTACTAAAAAAGTCATTAGTCGTGTAATGTTTTTTCTTCTTTACAAGAGGTATATGAGTTTTGCTGCCGCTCTTCTTAGAAGAACTATAACGGAGCAGGTGAAACAGAAGCTCTAACAAATTTACATCTGAAACCCATGGCCATCAATTTTATGATTACATAAACATTGATTCACGTCATCAGACCTCTTCCGCGAAACGTCTGTAGCAGCGAGGAGGGAGGAGAAACGGCTGTATTCGCAGGCTTATCACGTCAATTGAGAGTCACGTGTGACTCTAAATTACAGCTGTACTCCAAAGAGCCCTATTTGAACAGTGTCTATGATAAGAAGTAGACGTTTCGTAGTATATAGTCGGAGACCGCATTTGTAAATTTGATATATTACATAAAACCATAACACACGTTATGCGAAAAATTACTGGTTTTCCAAACAACGTTTTTTTTTTTGCAGTTATTGTTTTGACTGGAATAGTGCAACTACTGTAAGGCATCATAGGACAATAGGACCCTCGATTACTGATATCTCGGTTTTTAAAAATGTATTTTACATCTTGTTCTATCATCTTCAATGTGATTTGTGATGTATTTAGTAGACGAAACGAGAAAACTTCGTAGAAAGTGAAAAGCTAGATGATTAGTTTTAGGGGAATCCGTCATTTGGTAGTTATCTTTTTTTTTTAAATGTGCAATTTTATAAGTTTCATTGGCTGTCAGCTTGAAAAAAAGTTCTTAGCCGTCAAATTTATCCCCAGAGCCAGGATTCCTTTTGAAGTAATCGTAATTTTATCGTCAAGCCTTACTTATCCTGCTGACGATGACCGAAATAAAAGCTAGAGCTCGTAATGTTCCTTATTATTTGGATTCACCTCAATTAACTGATAATTGTTGTGATGTCGATATAATTTTTATTGAAAATTTTTACCTTTAAAGAAACGTTTGCAATAAAAAATGATAATACATATTTTACAAAATATTACAAATTCAATACAAATTCATCTCTCTTGCTTAGGTGGATTGCCTCCAAAGCGATTATGGCTTATGATGTTAGGACAAAATATGAAATTCCTTCTTTTTTAAGACTATGAAAATATCGATTTAATATAGGCACAAATTTGTATTTTCCAAAAAGGTCAACCCATAATAAGAAACGAAAAGAACCATTTCTAGACTATAGAAATATCGGTTTTAGAAGTTCGACAAACTTGCATTTTTGCCAAATGGTTAGCCCATGATTTTTCTCAAAACTTGCCAATTATAGTGGATGATATTATGGATAAAACACAAGACTTTCTACACTATTAGGTATCGCGTTAAGACCGTCGCCTATTCCATTGTATATAGTTTTCAAAAGGGGTTTACCTATAATGTTTGTTAACAATTTTAAACGTCCTTCATTCCTTCTTTTGGGGCAAATATGATAAAGGCAAAAAATAGTATTTGGTGATGTTAAAGATAGCCACCAAGCCTTTTTAGACTATATAAACATCGATTTAAGATACATTAGCATTTTAATGAAAAACGTTGAAATAACTCCATTCTGTCTTTGTAGAAAGGCTAGTTTTCTATATAGAACGTCACAAAATATTGTTTCTAGGCCAAATGTGCTTGGAAAGAAACAATAAAGAAATTTATGATTTTTGACCAAAACCATGGACTAACCTCTTTGCAAAAATGCAAATTTTTCGGCTTTTTTAAATCGGTGTTTTTATGGTCAAGAACGGCTTGTTTCCTATCTAGAAAGTCACCAAACACTTTTTCTAGGCCAAATTTGCCTAAAACCAAACGATAAATCAATTTGAAATTTTTGACCAAAGCCATGGACCAACCCCGTTTGGAAAATGAAAATTTTGATGTTTTCATGGTTTCTTTTTAATTTGGCTTTCTAGATAAAAAAAAAAAACTAGCCTTTCTTGACCATAAAAATACCGATTTAACGAGGTCAAACTATGTTTACTTTTTCAAAGGGGTTGGTCGATGGTTTTTGTCAAAAATTCGAAATTTCGTTACTGTTTACTCTTAGGCACTTGGCCTAAAAATGTGTTTGGTGACGTTTTAGATGGAAAGCTAGCCTTTCTTGACCACAAAAACACGAATTTAAAACAGTTGCAAAATTTGCTTTTTTTTCAAAAGGGTTAATCCATGGTTTTGGTAAAAAATTTGAAAGTTTTTCATCGTTTTTTTCAAGGCCAATTTGGCCTAGAAAAAGTGTTTGGTGACGCTCTATATAGAAAACTAAAAAAAAAAGTCGCAAAATTTGCATTTTTCCAAAGAAGTAAGTCCATGCTTTGGTCAAAAATTTAAAATTAATTTATGGTTTTTTTTAGGCAAATTAGGCCTAGGAAGAGTGTTTGGTGACTTTCCAGATAGTAAAATAGCCGTTCTTGACCATAAAAATACCGATTTAAAAAAGTCGCAAAATTTGCACTTTTTCAAAGGGGTTAGTCTATGGTTTTGATGAAAAATTTGAAATTTCTTTATCGGTTCTTTTAAGGCAAATTTGGCCTAGAAAAAGTTTTAGGTGACGTTCTATATCTAAAAAAACTAGCTTTTTTTACCGTAAGAACACCGATTTAAAAAAGTCGCAAAATTACCCTTTTCCAAAGAGATTAGTCCATGGTTTTGGTGAAAAATTTGAAATTTCTTTATCGGTTCTTTTAAGGCAAATTTGGCCTAGAAAAAGTGTTAGGTGACGTTCTATATAAAAAAAACTACTTTTTTTACCGTTAAAACACCGATTTAAAAAAGTCGCAAAATTACCCTTTTCCAAAGAGGTTAGTCCATGGTTTTAGCGAAAAATTGGAAATTTCTTCATCGTTCCTTTTAAGGCAAATTTGGCCTAGATTAAGTGTTTGGTTACATTCTATATAAAAAATTAGCGTTCCTTGACCATAAAAACAAACCGATTTAAAAAAGTGGTAAAATTTCCTATTTTTTAAAGAAGTTAGTGCATAGTTTCGGTGAAACATTTCATATTGATTTCTCGTTTCTTTTTGGTCAAATTTGGCCTAGAAAGAGTGTTTGGTGATGTTCTATATAGAAAACAAGCCTTTTTTGACCATTAAAACGTCGATTTAAAAAAGTGGCAAAATTTGCATTTTTCCAAAGGGGTTAGTCCATGCTTTTGATGAAAAATTTGAAATTTCTTTATCGTTTCTTTTAAGGGAAATTTGGCCTAGAAAAAGTGTTTGGTGACGTTCTATATAAAAAAGTAGCCTTTCTTCACCATGAAAACACCGATTTAAAAAGGTCGCAAAATTACCTTTTTTTGTTCAAAAATTTCAAATTTCTTCATTTGTCCAATTTAGGAACATTTGGCCTCGAAAAAATATTTGGAGACGTTCTAGATAGAAAACTAGCCTCTCTTGACCTTAAAAACACCTATTTAAAAAAATTGCAAAATTTGGATTTTTCTAAAGGGGTTAGTCCAATTTCATCCTTTTTTTTGTAAATTTGGCCTAGGAGAGGTGTTTGTGACGTTCTAGATAGAAAACTAGCCTTGTTTGACCCTAAAAACATTGATTTAAAAAAAAACCGAAATTGTGTTTTTTCTAAGGGGTTAGACAATGGTTTGGTAAAAAATTTGAAATTTGTTTATTGTCTCTTCTTTAGGTTAATTTGGCCTAGAAAAGGTGTTTGGCAGCTTTCTAGACAGAAAACTTGTCTTTCTTGACCATAAAAACTTGGATATAAAAAAGTCACAAAATTTGCATTTTTTCAAAGGGGTTAATCTATGGTTTTGGTAAAAAAAATTTGGAATTTCGTCTTCTCTTTTTTGTAAATAAATTATTCTTTAAAAGAGTGTTTGGTGACATTGTAAATAGAAAACTAGCCTTTCTTGACTATAAAAACACTGATTTAAAAAAGTTTCAAAATTTGCGTTTTTGCAATGGGGTTAGTCCATGGTTTTTGCCGAAACTTGGAAATTTCTTTATTGTGTTTTTGTAGGCTCATTTGGCCTAGAAAATGAGTTTTAGTTCTAGGTAAAAAAACTAGCATTTCTTGACCCTAAAAACCCCGATTTAAAAAAGTGTCAAAATTTCCATTTTTCCAAAGGGGTTAGTCCATGGTTTTGATGAAAATTTTGAAATTTCTTTTAAGGCAAATTTTGCCTAGAAAAAGTGCTTTTTGACGTTCTAGAAAGAAAACTAGCCTGTCTTGACCATACAAAAAACCGATTTAAAAAAGTCGTAAATTTTCTATTTTTTCAAAGAAGTTAGTCTATGGTTTCGGTCGAAAATTTAAAGTTTCTTCATCGTTTATTTTTGGTAAATTTGGATTATTAAAAGTGTTTGGTGACGTTCTAGAAAGAGAGCTAGCCTTTCTTGACAATAAAAAAAAACGAATTCAGAAAGTCGCAAATTTTCCATTTTTCTAAATGGGTTGGTCCGTTGTTTTGGAAACTGATAATTGTTGTGATGTCGATATAATTTTTATTGAAAATTTTTACCTTTAAAGAAACGTTTGCAATAAAAAATGATAATACATATTTTACAAAATATTACAAATTCAATACAAATTCATCTCTCTTGCTTAGGTGGATTGCCTCCAAAGCGATTATGGCTTATGATGTTAGGACAAAATATGAAATTCCTTCTTTTTTAAGACTATGAAAATATCGATTTAATATAGGCACAAATTTGTATTTTCCAAAAAGGTCAACCCATAATAAGAAACGAAAAGAACCATTTCTAGACTATAGAAATATCGGTTTTA